TCCCAGGAATTAAGGCAACCTGTATTGTAAGGCTCAAAGTAAGAATAAAAATAGCTCCAAGGAGAGGGCCTACACTTTAGAAGTCACTTTCCTTGTCTCTGAGGCATAATACCATATAGGTCTAAGTTTCTGCACCAAGGCCTACTTTGATTCACGTTTCAGTCCATCATCTACTGACTACAAGACAGGCAGCATGGCAGAGGAACATGGCAGAGGAGAGCTGCTCCCAAAGGTAATAAGGACATGAAGAGGATAGAAAGGAGGGAAGGGCCCAGTAGAGAGGAAAACCTGCCAAGCTAACCTGCCAGAACCTTACCACTCTTAACCAGGCATCACTTCTTAGCAACACATCAGCTCTAATGCCTCATAATCCCACAACCTCCCAAAAACTTTACCTATGATAAGAAGAGGCTTTGCAGGGACATCTAGCTCTAGTCCATAGCAGAAAGTGAGCAAGTGAGAAAACAAATGAAACCAAGCCTTAATTGGATTTGTGTAAGGAAATTCCTACAGGATTTTCCAGCTGGTGCTGTTAGATACTTTTGTGACTTCCTTTTCAATATTTGATCATCATGCTGCCAGAACGATCTGCCACATTAGCCTGATATCTGCAGTCAATGACATCTAATACTAAATGCTTCTTCCCAGTGACTCAGGCCTGCATGAGATGTAGCATCTCCCTCAGGGAGAGCTGACCTTTGACGCAGTCTGGGCATGGTGAAACATGCCTGTAATCCCAGCACTAGAGAGGCAGAATTCAGGAGGATCACTACAAGTCCGAGCTGCATAGTGAGACCTTGCACACAAAAAAAAGGGAGAGAGGACTTCAGAGGCTTCCCTGTCTGTGTGTTAGAACTCCTCAATCCCTGAAGTGCTACCTATGCAGACATGTTCCTTACTAGAGGAGATAAGATTTTAGTTGCTTTTGGATAGTCTAGCAATTCAGAGTGAGCTTTGAGGCTTGGGAAAGTAGCAGAAAGGCTCTATCTAACATGGAATTGTATTCTCCCACTCAATTTAAAACAATTCATTATTTTGATAGAGAGACATGCAATAACCTCTGCATATGCTTTTTACTCTTAAATTGAATTTTAAGAAATGAAAGCCATAATCTCAGGGTGTAAGAGGGACAGTGTTGTTTTAAACACTTAAACATTAGTAGAAACTTACCATATCTGGCACCATAGCATTGTTCATGGATAAGACTGAACATTTTGACCATCTCTTGTCTCATGCAATGTGAAAATAAATACATTGTTCCCAATGAAAAAGTTGAGATTCTTAAATCCTTTTGCCACAGAATTTTATAGACCTCCAAATAGGAGAGTTGGGAATATAACATAATCTTTTATGGAATATTTTGCATTGAGTTATTCCTTAGATGATACCGTTATCATAGCAGTTATATACATCCCAGATGACTGGAATCCTGAAAATGTCTTGTTAGGTGGGAGTGGTGACAGAAATGTTTATATTTAAATATATGAACAGGGGCCGGGGTGATGGCTCAGTGGAATAAGCGCTTCCCTGGCAAGCGCAAGGACCTGAGATCAATCTCCGGTTCTGCAAAAAAATAAAAAATAAAAATAAAAATAAGATAAATATATGGACTTAGATATGGAAATAAGAGCCTTATCTTATCTTGTGTTTCAGGTCCTGTATTCATCTACCCGAGTGATGATGTAAAAGCTATGGGGGTACTGTATGAAAGGAAATGTGGCCTCCTTCTTAATGAAGTCACTGAGATTATCACCAAGGTCATAACCACCAGAGTTCTGCAAAGTGACTGACATGGTCATATTGAAAATATCTTTAAACCATTCAATAAAAGATATATTTCTAATATTGGAGGGGAAAATAAAAACAAGAAAGGAAGGAAGGATGGAGAGATGGAGAATAGGCCATCTCAACTTTACCTCCTGAAGAAGATAAGGTGAAGGACACGGACATGGCCACCTGGGGACTGAAATGCTCTAAATCAGGGAAAAGTAATAGGAACTGTCTGCTGTCCTGAGAGAAGTTTGTCACCCTCTGAGCATGATGCACTGAAGAGCTGGCCAGCAAGTGAATTTCCAAAGTTAGATACTTAAGGGGGCAGGGTGATAGCTCAGTGGAATAAGTGCTTGACTGGCAAGCACAAGGTCCTGAGTTCGATCCCTTGTACTGAAAAAAAAATGTTGGACACTTACACCACAAATGCCTCAGGGTAAAAAGGCACTAGTGCTGGCAAGGACTCTGTTTACATAAAATATCACCATATGCGGAATGTCAATTTTCAGGGAACACTGGCTAGAAGTAACAGGATGAATAAAATCTAGTACAAGAAACATTACTTTTTTTCCTTCTTAACTACTCTCTTATGTTACTTTGGATAGAAATGCATTTATACCAATTTTGATTCATTTTTTAATAGTGCAAAAAATGTATTAAAGGAGAATTCTCCCTTAGTTGGCAATAGGGCAACAATGAAGGCTGCAGAAAAGTTTAGATTAGGCTCCAGCTCTACCACTACCAGTTGTGTAAAGTTGGCCAAAGGGTAAGTTTATCAACATGCATGTGAATTTAGGAAGCCATAACTTGCAAGGACACATGAACTATATGGAGACCATGGGACAAGAAGTGTAGAAAAGGTTTTCAACATTCAGAAACTTAAAGGATTAATATTATTTTGATCCCAAATAAAATTATCCTGCTCCAGGACCTTCATTTATGAAGTTCAGTATATTTCATATAATACAGAATCTGTATCATTTAAAAAACATGAAAAACAGTACAAAATATTTTCCCTCTTAAGTAAAACTGTACATATTTCAGTGTACAATTGTCCTGTGTGGCTGCAACTCAATCTCCCAACATTGGTGTCAAGGCACAAATTCTTTTAGCCCTCCACGTGGAACTTCCAACAAATGATCTATTCTATATGATATATATATATATATATATATATCACAAAATCTATCACTCATAGTCTGAAAAATTGCATTCAAGGTTATGAAATGAAGAAACATTTTTTTGTGGAATCGGGGATTGAACTCAGGCTCTTGTGCTTGCCAGGGAAATGCTCATTCCACTGAGCCTTCTCCCCGGCCCCCTGAAAACACATTTTGAATAAAGTGGAATCTAGTTCACTCTTCAAGAGAAATGGGCCAATACATAGCGTGTGCAGGGCTCTGAGTCACATCCCACTTGTGGGTGATAAAACACACCAGAAAAGGACCTTCTGCTAAGATCACTTGAAGGGGTTGTTACACTCTTTTCTGAGAAACTCTATGCAGAAAATGTGCCTAAACACCAGCTTTACCCAGTGTGTTCAACATAACAGAATACAGAATCCAAGTCACTTGCTTTCCTCCTCAGGTGTACATTGATTTCTTCTTTTCCTACCATCCTGGGTGTACTTTCCAGTTTTACAGAACATATTTACTGGTCCTTCATTCTACCACCACTGTCCAAATCGAGATGTTAAAGACCTCCTCACCATTTGATGGTTCTTCAAGATGGGTGTTTCAAGAAGTAGTTAGACTTTCACTTAATGAAAATGTGACTCTATACTCTGATATTTGGCCCTGAGACAGGAAAATCAATCTCTCTCTCCACCCAATTTTCTCTTCCTTAATCCTGTTCCTCCCCTCCCATCCTCTCTACTCATCTCCTCTTTTCTATTCTACCCTCTTCTTCTCACTTCCCTTCTCCCTCATTATCTGCATCCCTCATGACCTCCTTCCCTCTCCTTCTTTTTCTTTCCCTTTCTTACTTTTCCTCTCCATCACAATTCTCCACATTCATATGAGAAAACAAAAACATGGAAATTATGCCATTGGCTTTGAACAACTTACTGATATGCTTGTTTCTCTGCAACCACCACCAAAATCATATGCTGAAGCCCTGACCTCCAATGTGACAGCACACTGAAAAGTACCTTGGGGTGATAGATTTAGATGAATTTGGAAGACTGGATTGCCATGTTGTGTTTTATAGTTTACTTAAAAGTCCAAAACTATAGTCCCGTGACTCATCTCATTGCAGCTCTGTTCGCAAAACTCCAACCTCCAAAAATAGAAGGTAGGATTTCTTTACTTTAACACCCAGGAACTAATACACATCCTGTCAAAAAGAATATACCTCAGTAATGTGCACTGAAAAACGCTCAAGATATATAAAAGATTATAAAACTTTTATTTTTAACTTCTAGAACAAGAAAAAAACATGTACAAAACTTTCAGTTATTAAAAAGAACAAGCAACTAAAATCAATATGGGAACTCACATATTTATCACATTTCCAGTTATTCTGCCACTGTGTTATTCTGTATACCATGGGGCTCAACAGTTTTAAGAAAAATTACCCTACAATAATATTTTATTTTCTGAACAGAAAATGTGACAAATGAAGTCTCTTTTAAAGTTACCAGTCTGCAGTGTTTTGCCATAGTAGAGAGAACACATTTACAGAACTTTGCATCACAATCCTGAGTCACTGCACAGGATGGCATGGCCTTAACTAAGCCCCTCCAGCATTAGCTCACCACAATGTGAAATGAAGATTTTATCCCACCAGAAACCTGCTGTTTTCAAAGTCCTGCAATTGTCCTTAGGAAATTTTCACCTCATTGTTCTCATGGACACCTCCATCATATTTATTCTTTCTAAGTTATATAAAAGTCCCAAAGTAACTTCAACAAATTTCTTGCAACATTGCAGAACTGCGAACCAAAAGTTCTAGAAGCAGATACTGGGTCTTCGTCAATCATGTACCAGTGCACATTTCCTAAATTACAGTTAAGAAACATGGAGGCTAACTGATAAAGAGTTAAATGCAACTTCTAGGAATTTACCAAAAAACATTTTTTAAAATTCACTTCCTTAAAACCAACACAATGACAAAAGCAGGAAGTGAATAGGGTATAACATTTTTCACTATCATCCCCTACTAAGGGGTTCTGTAACATTTGCAAGAAAAGACACGGTTGTAAATCCCATTGCCTTAACTAGATGAGCATCTTAAGGCTTGGGAGGTAGAGCAAGACATGTGGCCTGGACAATCACACTAGGACTGATAGAGATAGAGCAGGCAGCAAGTATGGCTTGCATTCTTTCTATCTCCATTTTCATAGCTTCTTGATAAAGACATGAAAAGTAGGCAGGGGAAATTGTACTGAACCCAATCAAATACTTCAGGATTTTCTCCTTGTTGGTCTCAGCATGAGCTTGGGGTCCCCACAGGAACTCATAGCTTGGAGGATCACTGCCAGGTACCTGGCGATACTCCAAGTACTTCAACTTTACAAAATCTTGGGTGAGGAGCTTCTTGGTATTTCCAAATATGTAGTGGAGCTTTCCGGGGTACACGTGTATCTTTTTCAGGAATTTCCAGATGTCCTCCTCAGCAGCACAGTGGTTCTTCACAAAGATCACAGCGAGGATTTTCAGCAGGAGCCCGGTTTTAGGGTAGCCCCTGCCAGGGCGAATCCTCCCATTGTTGGGGAGTTTCAGCTTGCTGAAAAGATTATAGGTGTGACTGTTGGACTCCACTTCTCTCATTTCAACTGCAAAGATTGCCTCCAGGTGTTCACAGGCAGCCTTAAAAATCCCAGGAAAGTGTTTTCTGTGCCTCCAGTCGAGCGTATTCACCATCTCCTCTAGGGTAAAGAGCCTCCTCAAGCGAAATTTTTGGAGTATGAACCACTCCAAAGCATCAACCGGGCACTGAAAGCTTTCCGATAAACATTCAGTGGAGTAGCTGGCCCCAGACTCGCAATCCTCATGCTCGCAATCACAAGTTTTGTCAGAATTGGCAAAAGAGCCCTCAGCAGAAAGGCCACTGATAGAAGGTGATCTCGACCGACATGGCAGAGGAGGGATCCGGTAAGCAATACCAGGTATGAGGTGGGAGAAGGAACACTCCTCTATCTCTTCTTCCTCTTCTATTGCTGCTGCTGCTGCTCCTTGTTCCACTTCTTTTTCTGCAGCCTCTACCTCTGATGGTGACAGCACTTCTTCCTGTGCATTCTTACAAACCATGTTGTCTGTTCTGGCTTGCTGGCGTTTCTTAGGAGCATGGCGGCGTTTGCTCTTGTGACCACGAGGCATGATGAATCTGCTTAGGCCCAAGAAGGATGAGTGTACGGAGGATGGCTTGTGCTGCAGGCACCTGGAGGAGGCAAAGGAGACTGTGTGAGCATCTCAGCAGAGACAGATCTCTCCTTGGCTTGAACCAAGGCTGCTTCTGCAGGTATCTGTGACAGCAGTGCTCTAGGAACCAACAGTTCTCTAACTGTACTAAGTTTGTCCTTTTGAGGAAGACACAGTGAGTTATAGACCACAACATGCTGTCCCTCTCTATGGGGTTCTGTTGTGGTGACAAGGACTGGGTATTGGAGTCTTGCATTTGTGGGCCTGGATTCTCTTATCCTTGACACTCACCAGTAACTGCAGGGTAATCCTGCACCTTTAGATTGTTCTACTCTGACGTTGACCCCCATCCTCAAAGGGCAAATGATGTATCCCAGAGCCTATAGGTGTAAGTGGAAGAGATTCTCTGGCAATCTCCACATCATGTGCTCCACACTGAGAGATATGTAGAGCCCCCACTCTCTCACAGGATGCTAAAGTATGCATTTCTTCAAATAATTTTCTTGATCTCCAGGAGCTTCCTGCTACTATCACTCCTCAAAGGTAACTGGAGCCTCACACCAAATATTCTTCCGCCTCTCAGATTTGCTATGAGGCAGGGACAAACGGGAACAGCCTGACACCGTTCCTTGGCTTACAAATGCTGACTATATGCATCAGGCTCCAATTCTCTGATACCCACTCAATCAAGATTTTGCCTTTAACCTCTAATTGGACGTCTGAATCCTTGCTTTACCTGGGAGCCCTGTGGTGCTGCTGTCTTTGTTGAGACTCTCCAGGAGGACGTGACATCACCTCACCTTCCTCTATTCTCCCAATGTGCAGAAGAACAGATGATTTTGTAGTACCTGCTTGCTAGTTGCCTCAGATCTCATGGTACCCACATTACCATCTAGTAATACCTAGAAATGCTCCTACTGTGTACCTTTAGCCTTTCCTTTTAGAAAAAGTCCTTATCGCTCTCAGCGTGAAGCCTTACCCCACAGAATGTAGGAAATCAGCGCTAGTCACACTCGTACCCCATCCCAAGTTGCCATCTGGCCATGAATTTACTCCATCCTCACATAGGGCCCTTACTTTGACTCCTAAATACCTGGAAAGTCCCGGTATGCTGACTGGTAGCGCCTCCCAGCCTGAGACACTCACATAGCCTGTTATCCATTCAGAAAACAGTCAGAGGTCGGCAAGATCGCTCAGTGGTCTAAGCGCTTGTTTAGGCAAGCACAGGGACTGGGGTTCAAAACCCAGAACCACACATGGCCCCACCCCTGGACCCACTCAGCAGGCCACTGAGAATGGGCATAGTGGCACACCCCAATAGCCCGCTTGATAGGGAGGCTGAAAACAGGAGGATCACTATGAGTCCAAGCTACATAATGAGACCCTGTAAGAAAAACATTAAAAAAAAAACAGTCTGTTACCCCAGATGGGGTTACCTAGAAAGTAGGATGGGAGCAACTGGTGACCACTCCATCTGTAGGATCTGAGATCTCTGAGCCCAGCGTGTGTGACCTACTGTTGAGTCCCTGCACACATGAACATGCTCTCCAGGCTGCCCTGAATCCCCACTCCACACCCAACCCAGGGTTCCTGCTTTGCTCACTGTAGCACATGAGCCTGAACTCTCAGCCCAGAGCTACCCATTTTGAGAACATGCCTCTGCACCCAGTCTCCCGTGGCAAGAACACCTGGCTCCACCATCTTCAGGGTGGGCTTCTTTGTCCTTTCCTGCACTATCACAGCCACTGCAGTGCCCCCCACTGTCCTAGACCTCGCGGGTGAACAAGCCTACCCCGCTTCAGCACTGCGCCCCCACCCCACTCAGAGAACACAGAAGAGGCTTTGTGGGGCAGTGTTGACACCCACTATGAATAGGAATCTTCTTCCTGCTCTCTTCTCCCTGTTCTCCCTTTAGGTCCCCTAGCAGGTAGGACTGGAACAGTGTCTGCTCTGTCTGTGGGATCTGAGACCCCTGAGCCCAGCCTGGGTGACCTCCTGTTGAGTCCCTACACACATGAGCATGTTCCCAGGCTGCCCTGAGCCCCCATCCCCACCCCACCCCCATCCCACTCCCACCCCCAAGCTCCCCCTCTGCTTATGGCAACACGTCAGAGCCAACTCTTGCCCCAGAGTCATCCATTTTAAGCATACACCCTGCTCCAAATTGTTCTCCCATGGCAATGATACCTGGGCTCTATGGACTTGTGAGTGGGCTTCTTTATCCTCTACTGCACAACCACAAACTCTGCTGTGCCCCCCACAGTTGTAGACCTCTGAGGTGAGCAGCTAGCTTGCCCCAGGCAACCTGCGTGGTTTGGCACACCCCACCCAAACTCATGAACACAAATGAGTTTACACCACCGCTGAAGTGGGGGCTTTTCCCTGCTATTTTCTCCATCTGGGTCCCCTAGAAGGAAAGACTGGAGCAGCAGGGCCCACTCTATCTGTGGGAACCGAGACCCCTGAGTACAACCTCGGTGACCTCCTGTTGAGTCCCTGCACATATAAGCATCCTCCCCAGGCTGCCCTGAGCCCCCAGCCCATCCCCACCACCGAGTTCTACTTTGCTCATTGTAGCATAGGAGCCCCTGCTCATACCCCAAGCTGTCCATTTTGAGCACTTACTTCAGCAACAAAATGGTCTCCCTTGGCAACCGCATCTTTCTTTCACCAACTGCAGGGTGAGATTCTTTGACCTTTCCTGCGCTACCACAGCTGCTATTGTGCTCCCTTCTGTGCTAGACCTCGGGGTGAACACATCAGGCTACCACAGCCAACCTGTGCACTTCGATGCTGCATCTACCACCTCCAAAGCCCCCCCCACAATAACTATAGAGAGGAGGCATTGTGGGGCCAGTGTCGATACCTCCTTTTTAAGAGGGATCCTCTACATGCAATCTTTTCCCACTCGGTCGCCCAGAAGGTAGGATGGGGGCAGTGGTGAACATTCCGTCGGTGGGATCCGAGACGTCTGAGCCCAGTCTGGGTGACCTCCCATTTAGTCTCTGCACACATAAGTGTGTTCCCCAGGCTGCCCTGAGAACTACCTGGCTCTCAGCTCCAGGTTCCCGCTCTGCTCACTGCAGCACGAGGGCCCTGGCTCTCACCCTAGGGCTGTCCATTTTGACTATGCACCCCTGCACTTAAATGGTCTCCCATGGCAACTGTGCCTCTTTTCCCCAAATTCGGGATAGGCTTCTTTGTCTCCTGCACTATCACAGCCAGTGCTGTGCTTACCCTAAACATCCTAGACTTCAGGGTGAACAGAACAGCCTACGTCAGTGAAGCTGTGGGCTTCTGTAGTGCAACTCCTACAACCTCCACCCTGAGAACACAGAGAAAGCTTTGCGGGGCCGGACCTGGCACCTTCTTCTGAAGCATGGTCTTATCCCCGCTCTCTTCTCCCTCTCGGTCCCCTAGAAGGTAGGCCGGGGGTCGCGGTGCCCACTCTGTGTCATCCAAGACCCCTAAGCCCAGCCTGGGGGGCCACCTGTTGAGTCCCTGCACACGTGAGTATCCTCCCCAGGCTGCCCAAAGCCCCGACCCCACCCCGGGTTCGGGTCCACTCAGTGTACCACACGAGTTCTGGCTCTCACCCCAGAGCCCTCCATTGTGATCACGTGCCCCATACTGAATCTGTCTCCCATGGCAACCATACCTGGTTCCACCGACTTCGGGGTGGGTTTTTTCCTTTCCTGCACGACCACAGCCACTGCAGTGCCCCCCACCGTCCTAGACCTCAGGGGTGAACAAGCAGCCTACCCCAGCCAACCCGCTCTCTACAGAGCTGCACGTCACCACCCCACCCCACCCCCGCCCCGCCCCCTCAAGAACACAGACCAGGCCTCGCCAGCCTGTGTCGACACCCTCTGAAGCATGGTCTTCTCCCTGCCTTCTTTTTCATCTAGGTCCCCAAGAAGGAGGGACTGGAGCAGCAGTGCTAACTCCATCTGTGGGATCCGAGAACCCTGAGCCCAGCCTGGGTGGCCTCCTGTTGAATCCCTGCACACTTGAGCCCACACTCCACCCACCCCGGGCCCAGATCTGCTCACTGCGCCACATGAGCCCCAGCTCTCAGCCCGGAGCCGTCCATTTTGAGCACGCACCTAGCACCAGAATGGTCTCCTGTGGCCCCCACACCTGGCACCACGGACTTCGAGGTGGGCTTCTTTGTTCTCTCCCGCACCACAACATCCGCTGCAGTCCCCCCCCCACCGCCCTAGACCACGGGAGTGAACAGCCAGTCAACCTGCGCGCTTTGGCGCTGCACCCCCACCACCACCACAGAGGAGGCTTTGCAGGCCGCCACCGACAATCTTCAGAGCGGCTTCTTCTCCCTCTACGTCCCTTACAAGTTAGGGCTGGAGCAGCGGTACCCACTCTGTCTGTGGGATCCAAAACTCCTGCATCCAGCGTGGGTGGCCTCCTATTGAATCTGCGCACATGTGAGCGTCCTCCCCAGGTTGCTCTCGGGTCTGCTCAGTGCACCCATGAGCCCCGGCTCTCAGCCCAGAGCCATCTATTTTGAGCACGCGCCCCACAGCAGAACGGTCTCCTGTGGCCCCCACACCTGGCGCAACTGACTTCGGAGTGGGCTTCTTTGTTCTCTCCTGCACGACCACAGCTGCTGCAGTGGCCCCCACCGTCCTAGACCTCCGGGGAGAACAAGCAGCGTACCCCAGCTAACCCCCCTTTTTGGCGCTACACCCCCTACCCACCACAGATGAGGCTTTGTGGGCCGGTGTCGACAGCCCTCAGAAGCGGCGTCTTCTCCCTCTAGGTCCCCTACAAGTTAGGACTGGAGCAGCGGTGCCCAGTCCATCTGTGGGATTCAAAATCCCTGAGCCCAGCCTGGGGGGCCTCCTGTTGAGTTCCTGCACACGTGATCGTCCTCCCAAGGCTGCCTCAAGCCCTGACCCCACCCCGCATTTGGGGCTGCTCAGTGCACCCACCAGTCC